TGGCCTCCTGAAGTGCTGGGATTACAGGCATGAGCCACCATGCCTGATCTTGCATCTATTTTTGAAAGTGAGGAAAAATTTATTAGTAGCCTCCCAGCCAACTTCTCATTTGTTCTCTTTAGCAAGAACTGTGTAGCATCCTATGCCGAAATCCTTCACATGGCAAAGGCAATGGAATTACTGAGTGGCTTTTTTTTTTTTTTTTTTTTTTTGAGACAGAGTCTCACTCTGTCGCCCAGGCTGGAGTGCAGTGGCCGGATCTTAGCTCACTGCAAGCTCCGCCTCCCGGGTTTATGCCATTCTCCTGCCTCAGCCTCCCGAGTAGCTGGGACTACAGGCGCCGCCACCTCGCCCGGCTAGTTTTTTTTTGTACTTTTTAGTAGAGATGGGGTTTCACCGTGCTAGCCAGGATGGTCTCGATCTGCTGACCTTGTGATCCACCCGTCTTGGCCTCCCAAAGTGCTGGGATTACAGGCTTGAGCCACCGCGCCTGGTCCGGCTTCTTAAACTAATCAAGTTTCACCTTCTGATGCTGGGGAGGAGCCCAGCTGTCCTTAATCGCTAGGCCTTTCTGAGGATGGCCAGGGAAATCAGGGTCTGTTAGAAAGGAGGAAGGTGCTGACAGCCTCACCTTCAAATCTGCCTCCACAGCACCACCCTGTGGCCAATCTCCATCTGGCCAAGTCAGTCCCCTTCTTAGTGCCCTTCCACCGATTTCCACCAGATTCTGTAAAATCAAATATAAACTCCATAGCACACACTCTAGGCCCTCCATAATTGGACTTGATTGCTTCTCCAGCATTGCCGCTGGCTCCTCCCTGGCTCACTCTTAGCAGTACCGAAACATGGAGTCTTTGACAGTTCCCTGCACACACTTGGTCCAGGACACCTTTCCTGACTTCTTCTCGTGGGCACCTCTTACAACCGTGTATTCACAAAAATACATTGTTAAGTGATGAAAACGTCAGATCCTCTCTGCCCAGAATCTCCCATGACTCCCATTTCACCCAGAGAAAGCTTAAGTCCCTACCGTGGTATATAGGCCCTTACACGTGAAACTTCTGGACCAAAGATTATGGAACCTACATATTGCAATGTTGCTTTTCCCCATAGAGTATGCCATGTTACACTCCCATAGTGGGTTAGAGTGTACTCCTGTAAACCAGCAATGAGTGCTATCAATTTTAAAATTTTTGCTAAATTGTTAGATAGTAACTTATTGATGTTTTTATTTGCATTTAGAGGATTACTTATAAGGTAGACTCTTTTTCCATATTGGTTAACCAGTTATATTTTCTCATTTGGAAAAGACATAAAAGTATGGCCGAGCACAGTGACTCACACCTGTAATCCCAGCCCTTTCAGAGGCTGAGGCGGGAGGATCACTTGAGCCCAGGAGTTCGAGAATAGCCTGGGCAACATAGGGAGACCCTGTCTCTACAAAAAATACAAACATTAGCTGGGCATGGTGGCACACACCTGTAGTTCCAGCGACCTGGGAGGATTGTTTGAGCCAGGAGGTCAAGGCTACAGTGAGCTGTGATCGCACCACTGCACTCCAGCCTGGGTGACAAAGCAAGACCCTGTCTCAAAAAAAAAAAGGGACGAGTTTTTTTTAATGTATCAATCTTTTATTTTTTATTTATTTATTTATTTATTTTTGAGACGAAGTCTCGCTCCGTCGCCCAGGCTGGAGTGCAGTGGCGCAATCTCAGCTCACTGCAAGCTCCACCTCCTGGGTTCATGCCATTGTCCTGCCTCAGCCTCCCAAGTAGCTGAGACTACAGGCACCCGCCACCACGCCTGGCTAATTTTTTGTATTTTCTTTTAGTAGAGACGGGGTTTCACCATGTTTGCCAAGCTGGTCGTGAACTCCTGACCTCATGATCCACCCGCCTCAGGTTCCCAAAGTGCTAGGATTACAGGCGTGAAACACCGCGCCCGGCCTAACGTATCAATCTTGATATTCTCCCTCCTCTGTCCTATTTCCTCCCCTGTCACCTGCAGTCTTTCTTTCCTTCAGTTCCTTCTCATTTTTCTGTCACATCATTTCTCTACAAGCAACCATTGAAAAATAACTCCACATCTGTACCTACTGTGTGCCATGCAATTTCCTAAGTACTTTGCCTGCACTGATGCTAATTCTACCAAGGTAGTCACTGTTTCCATTTGACAGATGAGGAGCTGGAGACCCAGAGAGAATAAGTAATTAGCCCAAGGAACAGACTAAGCATTATTGTCTCTTCCTTCCTGCACCACAATGCATCCCAGTTCATCTGTCCATATCTATCTTTGTCAACTAAGGTTTATCTTTTTCTCTTCCCCATTTTCTCCCCTGAGGAGTCTTTATTGTCTTTGATGCTCCATTTTAAATTATCCATGTTTCTTTCTCTTGGTTTCTCGTCAGATCTCTCTGGGTTCCTTCCTCCTCCCATGCCTCCTTCCTCTTAGCAAACCCACTTACTATGGAAAGCTTATCTCTGTCCTCCTCTTCCCCTCCATGCGGCAGTCTTTGGCCTAATCCTGGTGAAATAAACACTGCAGTACAGGCCTGGCAAAGGAGTGGGGAGTAGGGAAGAGTCAGAGAAGGAGAGGCCAAGCATGGTGGCTCACACCTGTAATCTCAGCATTTTGTGAGGCCGAGGCTGGCGGATCACCTCAGGTCAGGAGTTCAAGATCAGCCTGGCCAACAGGGTGAAACCCCATCTCTACTAATAATACAAAAATTAGCCGGGCGTAGTGGCAGGCACCTGTAATCCCAGCTACTCGGGAGGCTGAGGCAGAAGAATCACTTGAACCCGGGAGGCAGAGGTTGCAGTGAGCCAAGATTGCACTATTGCACTCCAGCCTGGGCAACAAGAGTGAAACTCTGTCTCAAAAAAAAAAAGAGAAGGAACTGGCAGTGTGGGGAGCAGGACAGGAAGACTGTTTTCGTGAGGTGAAGGCCAGGAATGTGACTTTTGGGGCACGAGGGCACATGTGAGCATATGGGTAAGTATGTGTTGGGGGCTACCAAGGATTTGGGGCTTTTGTGAGTAAGAAGATTACATGGGTTTGAAAAAGAGATTGGAGGGCCAGGCGCAGTGACTCACGCCTGTAATCCTAGCACTTTAGGAGGCTGGGGTGGGAGGATCGCTTGAGCCCAGGAATTTAAGACCAGCTTGGGGCCGGGAGCGGTGGCTCATGCCTGTAATCCCAGCACTTTGGGAGGCCGAGGAGGGCCTCCCAAAAGGGAGGTCAGGAGTTCGAGACCAGCCTGGCCAACATAGTGAAACCCCGTCTCTACTAAAAATGCAAAAAATTAGCTAGGCATAGTGATGGGCGCCTGTAATCCCAGCTACTTGGAAGGCTGAGGCAGAATGTTGCAGTGAGCCAAAAAAAAGACCAGCTTGGGCAACATAGTGATGAGACCTTCTCTCTACAAAAAATTTAAAAATTAGCCAGGCACGGTGGCGGGCGCCTGTGGTCCCAGCCACTCGGGAGGCTGAGGTGGGAAGATCACCTGAGCCCAGGAAGTCAAAGCTATAGTGAGCTGTGATCAGGCCACTGCACTCCAGCCTGGGCAACACAGCAAGACCCTGTCTAAAAAAAAGAAAGAAAGGAAAAAAGAGAAAAAGGAAGGCCGGGCGCGGTGGCTCAAGCCTGTAATCCCAGCACTTTGGGAGGCCGAGGCGGGCGGATCACAAGGTCAGGAGATCGAGACCACAGTGAAACCCCGTCTCTACTAAAAATACAAAAAATTAGCCAGGCGCGGTGGCGGGCGCCTGTAGTCCTAGCTACTCAGGAGGCTGAGGCAGGAGAATGGCGTGAACCCAGGAGGCGGAGCTTGCAGTGAGCCGAGATCGCGCCACTGCACTCCAGCCTGGGCAACAGCGTGAGACTCCGTCTCAAAAAAAAAAAAAAAAGAAAAAGGAAAAGAGATTGGGAAACATGACGATCTCAGATGGGACTTGAGTCTCAGAGAAGCAGTATGTGTGGGTCCCAGCAGGCAGCAAAGACTAACAGGAGGAGACCCCCAGACAGATGGAAACAGCGCAGGGTCTGAGATCGGACCAAATCCACAAAGCCTCCAGAGGTAAATTTGGCCCCCATTCTCCCCCACATCATAGTTAAGTGATATCCCCTCACAATGTCCCCACCTCCCCCAGGTCCCAGTCACACAGCAGGAGCCTGTGGCCAGCATAACGCAGGACTGGAGGGGCGCTAAGATCCAGGACACTAAGGCAGGCCTGGCGCCGGGACTCCCTGTGGTCTGGACAGTGAGGGCGGTGAAAGGGATCTGGACACCTTCCTCCCCTGGGCTCACTTTGATTTCACCCCTGCCAGGGTTTGTGAGCTGGTTCCATGCACTTCCTGCCTGAGCAGGAGCAGCACACTGAATGACTGTCCCATCCCCCACCTTCCCCACACCGACACAGGCTCACTATTATCACCCATTATTATCAGACACTCCTATCCCTGCCCTCTCCCCAGCACACTTTGCAGAAAGGTGTGTGGATATAAATCACTGCCGAGAGCAACCTGAACTAAGAACCAGCCCCAGCCCTACACTTGTTCTTTCAGGAAACCCTCCCAGCAGCAGCCTCCCTATTGGCCCCATTGGCCCTCCTTGTCCTCCCTACCAGAGCACAGAGGGACTGAGGGTTCCTTACCAAGATGCCTCTACAACCCCCACAGCCCACGGCCAGCTCATGCTGATTGTCATTTTTAAGTTTATGCCCAAAACCCAGCCAACCTGGTTCATGCTTAAGCCCTAGACCACACAGGAAATCCACAGAGCCACACAACCGAGGCCTCTCCACTTCCCTGGCAGAGCTCCAGGACCCAGAAGCCTGGGGAGTCAGCCTGGGCCATGACCAGGCCCTCAGGGATAAGGCAGGGGCTCCTCTCTGCTCCACCTCTCCCACTTGTCTGGGGAGGCCTCAGAGTTAGAAGCCCCCTTCCCGAGTTCTGATGCACCTAGGCCCTTTCCCCCCAGCTTTCTCTCTTTGCTCCTGCAGTGGGCAGCCGGGTGAGCCAGGAGCTGCATTACACCAAGGAGAAGCTGGGGGAGGAGGCTGCATACACCTCTCAGATGCTGATACAGACCGCACGGCAGGAGGGAGAGAACATCCTCACGCCCGAAGCACTTGGCCTCCACCTCCAGGCAGCCCTCACTGCCAGTAAAGTCCAAGTATCACTCTATGGGAAGTGAGTCTGGCTGAGCCCCTGAGCAGCTGGGGTTGAGGCTTGCTGTGGGGGTTCTGGAGTGGGAATACCCCTCTTCTGCTGATCTCCTATGCCCCTGGCTATTGCAGGTCCTGGGATTTGAACAAAATCTGCTACAAGTCAGGAGTTCCCCTTATTGAAAATGGAATGATTGAGCGGGTAAGTGTCCTGAGAGGGAATAGAGGCAGAACCTTTTCTGTGGCGTGGAAGGACTCAGAGAGACCGAGCAAGCTCCACAGCCTGCAATCCGCCCCCTTAAAACTAAGGAGGGGGATTGCAGAGGGCATCCTACAAAGGTTGTGGGGCAGGACTGATGTGGCCCGGGGTATCCCTGGCAGATGATTGAGAAGCTGTTTCCGTGCGTGATCCTCACTCCCCTCGACTGCTTCTGGGAGGGAGCCAAACTCCAAGGGGGCTCCGCCTACCTGCCGTGAGTGCCACTCCTGGGGCCCTGCTTCATCTCCCGCTGGGGACTCTCCCAGCAGAAAGGAGGGGTTGGGGGAATGAGGATGATCAAAACCTTACCAAGGTCCTAAGTGCTCCCAGGCCAGCAACAGAGAGCACGGGCTTCCCCAGGGCTCTCTCAACATCCCCCTTCTCCTTCCCTCTGAAGGAAGGAAGACCTGACTTATTTACACAAAACTAAACACAAAGATCTGTAAGATCTGAGCAAAGGAGAAAAAGATCCCCAGAAAGAGGCTTTGTTGGGGGGAATTACCTAGGTGTTTGCTAAGCTGTTGCCCAGGCCAGAAAGAAAACCTGCTACAGGCGTGTGCCTGCTGGTTATATATTAGAACCAAGCACACAGCTTGGTAAGGGACTCAGTGGGGCCTTTCTAGGCCCTTTCTGTGTATTAGGTAACCCTGCCCTGATATCCGTCTCAGCCCCTTGTACTCATCTACCGCTCACTGTGGCACCCTGGTGGGCCCATGCTGCCTGGCAGTTCTGAGAAGCTGAGGCTTGCACACCCTCCATATGGAGGGACAAATGGGCAGATAAGAGGAGGGTGGGGTACAGCATGGGGCCCCAGCAGCAGTTTGGAGCCTGGGTTTTCATCCCTGACCCTCACCAACTATGGGCTCTTCCCTCAGCGGCCGTCCGGATATCCAGTGGACCAACCTGGATCCAGAGCAGCTGCTGGAGGAGCTGGGTCCCTTTGCCTCCCTTGAGGGCTTCCGGGAGCTGCTAGACAAGGCACAGGTGGGCCAGGCCTACGTGGGGCGGCCCTGTCTACACCCTGATGACCTCCACTGCCCACCTAGTGCCCCCAACCATCACAGCAGGCAGGTGGGTTCCAACCAGGTCTGCCAGGGAAAGACTGTTTTCCTTCCCTCATACACTCCTATGTTCCGGGGAAGCTGACTGCTCTGTGCCCTGACCCTCACTTCCTGGCATTACCCTGCTCCCGCAGTGCCAGGCCCCCAGTGTTCCATTCCCATTCAGTTATCCTACGGAGCCCTCACGTGGTATATGAATCCCTTTTTCCTTTTCTGAGCCTAGATAAGGCTGGACTTTTTTAAATTTTATTTATTTATTTATTTTTTGAGTCTCACTCTGTCGTCCAGGCTGGAGTACAGTAGCTGGATCTTGGTTCAAGCAATTCTCCTGCCTCAGCCTCCTGAGTAGCTGGGATTACAGGTGCCCACCACCATGCCTGGCTAATTTTTGTTAGCCCGCCCCAAGGGCTGGGATTACAGGCGTGAGCCACTGCGCTGGCCAAGGCTGGACTTTTTGTCAAAATAGACTAATACAGGGAAACTAAGAACACAGTAGGTAAGCATGAATATCATACCTGGTCTCCCTGGTTTCTTTATGGCCCTGCCAATGTGGTACTTTTCCCAGAATCCGCCAGTTACACCAGCTTCTCCCAGAAGCCTACTTCCAGGCCTCTACTCCCCCTTCGGGCTTCCTGTCTTCGGGATACTAGCTGTTCACTTCTGCAGAGCAGTCAAGAGGCTCAGAATAGTTACCTACACTCCAGGCCCACGGAGCTCCATGGTGGCTTGGTTCCTGGAGGTGGAAGCCCAGGGACACTCAGTTATCCGCAGCCAGGGCCTTGAGCATTAACCCCTCCTTTTCCCCTCCAGGTTCCCAACGTGGCTCACGAGCTGAGCGGGGGCTGCCATGGCTTCTCCCACAAATTCATGCACTGGCAGGAGGAATTGCTGCTGGGAGGCATGGCCAGAGACCCCCAGGGACAGCTGCTGAGGTAGGGTCTCCTCTGGGAGGTGATGAGGGGACTCCGTGCATGAGAACCCATACTGTAATGCCAGGCAGCTCTGGCAAAAGGCCCTGCACATCCCTCACCAGGTGTTTGGGCCAGCTCTGACCCCTGGTTCTCCCGCACCCCCACCAGGGCAGAGGCCCTGCAAAGCACCTTCTTGCTGATGAGTCCCCGCCAACTATACGAGCATTTCCGGGGTGACTATCAGACGCATGACATTGGCTGGAGTGAGGAACAGGCTGGCACAGTGCTACAAGCCTGGCAGCGGCGCTTTGTGCAGGTCGGTATGGACAAGGACAAGGTGGGTGCCCTGAGGCCACTCCCTCCTCCTGCCCCCTCCAATCTACCCTGTTTCTCCAGCTGGCCCAGGAGGCCCTGCCTGAGAACGCTTCCCAGCAGATCCACGCCTTCTCCTCCACCACCCTGGACGACATCCTGCATGCGTTCTCTGAAGTCAGCGCTGCCCGTGTGGTGGGAGGCTATCTGCTCATGGTGGGTTTTGCACCTGGCACCTTGCCCCACTCCACCTCCAGCCAGTGCCCACCCTGGGAGCCCCTGTCTGAGACTGCCCTTTCTCCCCACAGCTGGCCTATGCCTGTGTGACAATGCTACGGTGGGACTGTGCCCAGTCCCAGGGTGCTGTGGGCCTTGCCGGGGTACTGCTGGTGGCCCTGGCGGTGGCCTCAGGCCTTGGGCTCTGTGCCCTGCTCGGCATCACCTTCAATGCTGCCACTACCCAGGTACGCCTGGACTGCAGGGCAGATTCAGTGCCAGTCACCAGGCTTCACGGGTCCTCAGCTGCCCGCTCCTCTGCCCCTCTAGGTGCTGCCCTTCTTGGCTCTGGGAATCGGCGTGGATGATGTATTCCTGCTGGCGCACGCCTTCACAGAGGCTCTGCCTGGCACCCCTCTCCAGGTGGGGCCTCGTCCCCCAGGGCTCATCTGAGGCAGCTCAGCTTACTGGTTAAGAGCCTCTTGGTTCAAGTGACCCTGGGCTGCTAATGAACCTCAGTGCCTCTTGTCCCCATCTGTAAACAGGGGAAATAATAGTACTGTGTCCTAAGTTGTGTTTGGATCAGTGAGGTAACTCAAGCTGAATGCTTAGAACACCCCATCACACGTACATGGTACCCAGTAAATGCTAGCTGCTATGTTATGACTGCCCCACCTCTGCACCCCAAGTTCCTGAGCCTCCCCTTCACTCCACCTTGACACAGCCCCTCCTTTGTGACCTGAGGGCAGGTCCCCACTCTGTCCTGGCAGGAGCGCATGGGCGAGTGTCTGCAGCGCACGGGCACCAGTGTTGTACTCACATCCATCAACAACATGGCCGCCTTCCTCATGGCTGCCCTCGTTCCCATCCCCGCGCTGCGAGCCTTCTCCCTACAGGTGAGGCTGCTTACACGAGCGGCTCAGGGTGGGTGTGGGGCTGAGGCCAAGCTTCATCCAGCCTTCATGCCCCTCCTGTCCGTCCCCCAGGCGGCCATAGTGGTTGGCTGCACCTTTGTAGCCGTGATGCTTGTCTTCCCAGCCATCCTCAGCCTGGACCTACGGCGGCGCCACTGCCAGCGCCTCGATGTGCTCTGCTGCTTCTCCAGGTACTGCCTGCACCCCAGCCCCTTCCTCCCGTGACCCACGCCAGCCTGTCCCCTCACCAGCATTTCAAGGCACAGACCTGTCATCCACTCTCTACTTCTTCCAGTCCCTGCTCTGCTCGGGTGATTCAGATCCTGCCCCAGGAGCTAGAGGACGAGACGGTTCCAGTGGGCATTGCCCACCTCACTGCCACAGTTCAAGCCTTTACACACTGTGAAGCCAGCAGCCAGCATGTGGTCACCATCCTGCCTCCCCAAGCCCACCTGGTGCCCCCACCTTCCGACCCACTGGGCTCTGAGGTCTTCAGCCCTGGAGGGTCCACACGGGACCTTCTAGGCCAGGAGGAGGAGACAAGGCAGAAGGCAGCCTGCAAGTCCCTGCCCTGTGCCCGCTGGAATCTTGCCCATTTTGCCCGCTACCAGTTTGCCCCCTTGCTGCTGCAGTCACATGCCAAGGTAAGACTGGGCCGAGCAGGGCAGAGACTTAGCATCTGTGGGTCCAGAAGGGCAGAGGGCTCAGTCCACCCCTGAGGGGCTGGGGGCAGCCCTGGGGCCTCCAGCTTAGTTGCCACTTCCCACAGGCCATTGTGCTGGTGCTCTTTGGCGCTCTTCTGGGCCTGAGCCTCTACGGAGCCACCTTGGTGCAAGACGGCCTGGCCCTGACGGATGTGGTGCCCCGGGGCACCAAGGAGCATGCCTTCCTGAGCGCCCAGCTCAGGTACTTCTCCCTGTACGAGGTGGCCCTGGTGACCCAGGGTGGCTTTGACTACGCCCACTCCCAACGCGCCCTCTTTGATCTGCACCAGCGCTTCAGTTCCCTCAAGGCAGTGCTGCCCCCACCGGCCACCCAGGCACCCCGCACCTGGCTGCACTATTACCGCAGCTGGCTACAGGGTGAGAGGCGAGGAGACTGGCAGGGAGGGGTGCTGCAGGGAGAAACGCCCTGGGGCCACCAGCCAAGAGAACTCTATCCTGGTCTCCCCTAGGAATCCAGGCTGCCTTTGACCAGGACTGGGCTTCTGGGCGCATCACCCGCCACTCGTACCGCAATGGCTCTGAGGATGGGGCCCTGGCCTACAAGCTGCTCATCCAGACCGGAGACGCCCAGGAGCCTCTGGATTTCAGCCAGGTTGGGAGAGGGCTGGAGGGGTGGAGTAGCACAGGGGCTGCAGGCCTCCTGGGCCCAGGCCTTCAGCCCTCTCTGCCTCTGCAGCTGACCACAAGGAAGCTGGTAGACAGGGAGGGACTGATTCCACCCGAGCTCTTCTACATGGGGCTGACCGTGTGGGTGAGCAGTGACCCCCTGGGTCTGGCAGCCTCACAGGCCAACTTCTACCCCCCACCTCCTGAATGGCTGCACGACAAATACGACACCACGGGGGAGAACCTTCGCAGTGAGTCCTGGGGGGAGCTCAGCAAGAGCCTCAGCCTCACCCACACAAACCCTGAGCCTGAGGCCCTGCCCGCTCTGCCCCGTGCTCACTGCCCCGTCCCTCTCCCTCTTCTCCCTTTCCCTCCCCTCCGCAGTCCCGCCGGCTCAGCCCTTGGAGTTTGCCCAGTTCCCCTTCCTGCTGCGTGGCCTCCAGAAGACTGCAGACTTTGTGGAGGCCATCGAGGGGGCCCGGGCAGCATGTGCAGAGGCCGGCCAGGCTGGGGTGCACGCCTACCCCAGCGGCTCCCCCTTCCTCTTCTGGGAGCAGTATCTGGGCCTGCGACGCTGCTTCCTTCTGGCAGTCTGCATCCTGCTGGTGTGCACATTCCTCGTCTGTGCCCTGCTGCTCCTCAACCCCTGGACGGCTGGCCTCATAGTGAGTGCTTGCAGGAGTGGAGACAGAGAGACCCAGAGGCACCTGCACCCTTCCCTGCCCAGCCTGTCTTCCCTCCTGCCAGGAGCCCTCCGTGAGCCTTGTCTCCCCCAGGTGCTGGTCCTGGCGATGATGACGGTGGAGCTCTTTGGTATCATGGGTTTCCTGGGCATCAAGCTGAGCGCCATCCCCGTGGTGATCCTCGTGGCCTCTGTAGGCATCGGTGTTGAGTTCACAGTCCACATGGCTCTGGTGAGCACAGGCACCCCGGGGAGGGACCAGTCAGCTGATTCAGTATTCAACGCATATTGTTCAAGCCCCTACGATGTGCTAGGTACTGTTTAAGGATTTGGGGCCAGGCGCGGTGGCTCACGCCTGTAATCCCAGCACTTTGGGAGGCCAAGGCAGGCAGATCACGAGGTCAGGAGATCAAGACCATCCTGGCTAACACGGTGAAACCCTGTCTCTACTAAAAATACAAAAAATTAGCCGAGCATGGTGTTGGGCACCTGTAGTCCCAGCTACTTGGGAGGCTGAGGCAGGAGAATGGTGTGAACCCAGGAGGCGGAGCTTGCAGTGAGTCAAGATCGCGCCACTACACTCCAGCCTGGGCGACAGAGCGAGACTCCATCTAAAAAAAAAAAAAAAAAAAAAAAAAAAAAAAAAAAAAATTTGGGCTGGCTGGACATGGTGGCTCACGCCTGTAATCCCAGCACTTTGGGAGGCCAAGGCAGGTGGATCACCTGAGGTCAGAAGTTTGAAACCAGTCCGGCCAACATGGTAAAACCCCATCTCTACTAAAAATACAAAAAATTAGCCAGGCGTGGTGGCACATGCCAGTAATCCCAGCTACTTTGGAGACTGAGGCAGGAGACTTGCTTGAACCTGGGAGGCAGAGGTTGCGGTGAGCTGAGATCGAGCCATCGCACTCCAGCCTGGGCAACAAGAGTGAAACTCTCCGTCTCAAAAAAAGAAGAAGAAGAAGAAGAAGAAGAATTTGGGCTGGGCACAGTGGCTCATGCCTGTAATTGGGATGATGCTGGGGCATTTTGGGAGGCCAAGGCAGGAGGATCCCCTGAAGTCAGGAGTTCAAGACTAGCTGGCCAACATGGCAAAATCCCGTCTCTACTGAAAATACAAAATTTAGCCGGGCGTGGTGGTACATGCCTGTAATCCTAGCTACTCAGGAGGCTGAGGCAGGAAAGTCGCTTGAACCCAGGAGGCAGAGGTTACAGTGAGCCAAATCGTATCACTGCACTCCAGCCTGGGCAAAAGAGCAAGATTCAATCTCAAAAAGGAAAAGAATTTGGAAAATAAAAATAAAAAAGAATAAGGGATATAATAGCAATACAGTTTTTTACCTCCAAGGAACTTATATTCTAGGGATATAGACAATAAGGGCTGGGTGTGGTGGCTCATGCCTGTAATCCTAGCACTTTGGGATGCCGAGGTGGGCACATCACTTGAAGTCAGGGGTTCCAGACCAGCCTGGCCGACATGGTGAAACCCCGTCTCTACTAAAAATACGAAAATTAGCTGGGTGTGGGGGTGAGCGCCTGTAATCCCAGCTACTTGGGGAGGCTGAGGCAGGAGAATCACTTGAACCCGGGAGGGCGGAGGTTGCCATGAGCCAAGACCACGCCACTGCACTCCAACCTGGGCAACAGAGCAGGACTCTGTCTCAAAAAAAAAAAAAAAAAGTAAATAATTAGCTGGGCATGGTGGCACGTGCCTGTAGTCCCAGCCACTTGGGAGGTTGAGGCGGGAGGATCACTTGAACCTCAGAGTTTGAGGTTGCAGTGAGCCATGATTATACCACTGCACTCCAGCCTGAGCAACACAGTAAGATCCTGTCTCAAAAAAAAAAAAAAAAAAAAAGGGATGGTAGCGGATGGCAATGTGGGCTTAATGGAGGGGTTCTACAGAGATATCAGAGATACACAGATGCCAGAACCAAGGAGGGCCTTACCCAGGGCTGCATATTCTCTGACAGAGGAAAGGGGGGACCCACAGACCAGCCAGACTCCACAAACAGCTCCCTTCCCTTCCCCCACCAAATATCTCTATTATTATTCTGATTGTAAGAACAATATATGGTCCTTGAAAACAAAGTCAGTATGCAGAAAGGTACAAAAGAAGAATTAGAAATCCTCTGAAACACTACTCTGAGAAATAACTGTTATCACTTTGGCATCCCTCTTCTAGAAGGACTAGTGGTTGGCAAACTTCTTCTATTTATAGGACCAAATAGTAACCATTTGTGGCTTGGTAGGCCATAGAGTCTCTGCTGCAACTCTGCCATAGAAACACAAAATTGTCTAGACAATACATTAACCAATGGGTATGGCTGTTTCAACAAAATTTCATTTACAAAACAAGTAACAGGCTGTAGTCTGCCCAACCTATTTTTGTTGTTTGTTTGTTTGTTTGAAACAGTTTCACTCTGTTGTGCAGGCTGGAGTGTAGCAGTGCAATCTCGGTTCACTGTGACCTCCACCTCCCTAGCCAAGCGATCCTCCCACCTCAGCCTCCTGAGTAGCTGAGACTACAGGCGCAAACAACCACACCCAGATAATTTTTGTATTTGTTATAGAGACACCGTTTCACCATGTTTCCCAGGCTGGTCTCGAACTCCCAACCTCAGGTGATCCACCCACCTCGGCCTGGGATAACAGGCATGAGCCACCGCGCCCAGCCTTGTTTGTTTTTAGAGACAGGGTCTCACTCTGTTACCCAGGCTGTACCCTATTTTCTACACGTCTCTGTGTCTAAGCTCACCAAACCCATCCATACAGTGTTACCTAAAAGGACTCACGCACGCTCCCTGTACAGTTCCCATGAACTTAGTTCACCTGGCCTTCGGTGGGCCAAGGTATTGTTGAGCTCTGAAGACAGTTACAGCTGGGGACATGGCTGAGCTGGCCATGACTGGCAGAGGAGCAGCTCCAGGACCACTCTATTTTCCCAGGGCTTTCTGACCACCCAGGGCAGCCGGAACCTGCGGGCCGCCCGTGCCCTTGAGCACACATTTGCCCCTGTGACTGACGGGGCCATCTCCACATTGCTGGGTCTGCTCATGCTTGCTGGTTCCCACTTTGACTTCATTGTAAGGTAGGGAGGGCTCGGGGGCGGGGAGGCAGGGCTCAGGGCAGGCCTGGGCTGACTCCCCCCGCCCCCAGGTACTTCTTTGCGGCGCTGACGGTGCTCACGCTCCTGGGCCTCCTCCATGGACTTGTGCTGCTGCCTGTGCTGCTGTCCATCCTGGGCCCACCGCCAGAGGTGACCACACCCTCGGCTCCATCCCTCTGCTCCCAGCCCAGGGGATGGGGTAGGGATAGGCAAGGGAAGGGACAGAGCCCTGTGGTCCACAGACAGGTACCTCCCCAACAGGTGCCATGAGCTGAAGGTGGCAGCCTCCTTCTTTCCCCAGACACCATATTCCTGCCCCTCAGCCCCCCTGGTTTCTTCATGGGACCCACCTTAGCCTTTTAGGATCCAGAGCAAGGTGCAGAGTTTGCCCCAGGCCTCAACATCCTGTTACCTGCCAGCTCTCATATCCTGCTGGAGACCAACAAGGACCCCAGCTTCCCAACAGTCATGGTGATCCCCAGGGAGATGCTGAAGGGGACGGGAGCCCCATGGGCCCGTGGGCTTACTGTGGCTGGTGTCTCCCCACAGGTGATACAGATGTACAAGGAAAGCCCAGAGGTCCTGAGTCCACCAGCTCCACAGGGAGGCGGGCTTAGGTGGGGGGCATCCCCCTCCCTGCCCCAGAGCTTTGCCAGAGTGACTACCTCCATGACCGTGGCCATCCACCCACCCCCCCTACCTGGTGCCTATGTCCATCCAGCCTCTGATGAGCATCCTTGGTCCCCTGCTACCACCTCAGTTCCAGGGGACCAGGTCCAGCCACTGGGTGAAAAGAGCAGCTGAAGCACAGAGACCGTGTGTGGGCCATGTGGGCTCACTGGGAAGCACTGGGTCAGGTGTTAGACGCAGGATGGACCCCTGGAGGGCCCTGCTGCTGCTGCACCCCCTCTCCCGACCCAGCCATCATGGGCCTCCCTGATATCCATACAGAACAGCCAGCACCTTGCACACCCAGGCCTGTGTGAACCTATGTCTGTGTCACTTGAGAGTGAAAGCCAGCACTTCAGGCTGCAGTGCAGCCCTGTCCCCCTTCCCACCCCACACCGCTGCCCACTCAGCTGACCAAGCCTGAGAGACCCTCCAGCACCCTTCCTCAGTCCTGGCCCCACCGCCTGGTGACTCCTGGGCAGGCTCTTCATATCCCTGCCCACCTCCTACCATGTCCATTATTTATATGAAAATGTCTATTTTTGTAGTGTACATAGATGTTAGCTATGTTGAAAGTTTTATTTTTTAAAGAATTAAATATATTCTATGTGAACTCATCTCAAATGACTTCAGTGCCTTTTTTTTTTTTGGACAGAGTGGGGAGTTTGCAAGTGAACATTCGCTATTGGAAGGGGCTTTGGTGCCAGGACCTGAGGTATTAGCTTCTCTAGTTCTGGGTGGAAAAGACCCCAGATTCTGGATTTTTGTCATATACTTGGTAACATCATCTGGATTAAGTGCTTAGTATACAAAACAATAACAAATTTTGTTGGTGTGAAATCCTACTGGGTTCAATCTGGAGATCGGGAGCAGAAAAAAAAAAAAGCCACACTGTGTGGCTTTCCAAGCCACCATATTCCAGCCCGCCCACCTCTCCAGACTCACCTCCACCTACCTGCTTCACCCGCACGGGAAATGGCAAGGCGGAGGGGCAAGGCCATGCAGCAGCCGGAAGGTGAGGTGGAGGCAGATCAGGAAAGCGGTCAGTTGAAGCAGAGAGAGGGCAACAGGGTCGGGGGAGCTTCTCAGGGGGTTTGTGGACCGAGGGAAAGGAGCCAGTTCCCAGAGCAACCTCGAAGGCAAAGGCTTCTGCAAGTTGGTGGTTGGCCTGACAGTCGAGAGGCATCTTTGGCCAGTCAGCCAGTGGGTCAGTTGCAGGAACTGCCCAGAAACGAAAGTGCTAGCAGCTAGTGAGGACACAATTTAAGCTGTTTGTTCTGTGAAGGTTGAACAGCCCCACTGAGCACAGGCCTTGAAGAGTGGCCACAGCCCTGGAATAGAGCACAAAGCCTCACCCAGAAGTGTGGGGAGGTTTGCAACTGCCCTTTCCCAGCCATAGCTTAGGACCCATGGTCTAGTTCGCACAGACCCTGGGCTCCAATCACCCACTCACCAGGAATGATCCCACCCCACCAACAATGCCTTCTCACATCCCACCCCACCTGGACAAAGGCCAGGAAATCATGTTCTGACCAAAAGATACAAAAAAAGAAACAAAAAAAAGGAAACGCCTATTGCAATTGAATTCACACCAACATGCCTAAAAAGCTCAAGAGAAGTGGGTAGTTGGCAGAGAACCTAGAGTAGGGGGTGCAACCAGCAGGCCCAAGGGAGGGAGGCTGGATTTGGGTCCAGCAGTGTTTGGGTCACCAAGGAGGGCCTTCTAGGTGGAGCAGAGAGAGCTCACCAGGTTAGAATAGTGCAAAGGGGGTCAGCCCTCTGTGCCACTTTCCAGCGGAGTAACCCTGGGCAAGTTAGCCAGCCTCACTAAGCCTCCTCATCTTCATCTTCCCATGCCAGAGATCTAGCCTGTACCTCCCACCCCAGTACCCCTTCATCAGACACACGGAGCGCCACTGTCTGGACAGGCTGAACTGGTCTTCGGGTCCATAATTTCTCATACGCCATTCCCTCTGCCTAGAACACTTTCCCACATTCCCTTGACGTGACTCCGTATCACCCTTCGAGGTGAATTGGATCGGATGCCATCTCCTCCAGGAGAGGTAATGTCGTGCCTCCTGTGAGTTCCCACTGCCCCTGAGTGTCTATGCCCGTCTGTTTCCCCGTCCCTCTCCCTAAGCCCGGAGGCTTACTGCGGGTAAGGACTGCGGGACAGGACCTTAACCCCTGAGACAAACACCAGCTCCGCAAAGGACTCGGCACCCACGGGGTGCGGGTCCCAGGAGGACCAGCAGACAGGAGAATAGGAGAGCAAAGGAGACCAGTGATCCACGGGTCCCCGGGGTCCCGCCCCGAGGACCCAGCCCCCGCGGCGCGGGACAGCCCGGAGCCAGCTGTGATTTGCATACCCATGGTGCACCACAAAAAGATACACTCACGATGCTTGCACTCCCTCCGTGCGGGCGTTTCTGCACTATTTTAGGGCATGATGCCTCTTACAGCATCTTTATGCATAAACTACACGCAGGGAGTGTGTACCACGCAAGCACCCAACAACCATAACTGGGTTAAGTGTTAGTTCTCCCCGCGAGGTTCGAAGCTATACTTGCTAGTATACTCTAGTTTCCCTTCAAATCGTACAAATCTTTCGCCTTTTACTAAAGATTTCCGTGGAGAGAAACAGTTATGAGTCTTTAAAAAATTTTTTGAGGCCTCGTGTTTCGCGAGGCTAAATTGTGAGTGTGGAAAGTTAGATTATTGTTATCAATTTAATAGAATCTCGTTTTTATGACATATCCGAAAGATTACTCGCGTGTGGTAGTGCACGTCTGTAACCTTAGTTGCTCAAGAAGCTACTGCAGGCCGGGCGCGGTGGCTCAAGCCTGTAATCCCAGCACTTTGGGAGGCCGAGACGGGCGGATCACGAGTTCAGGAAATCAAGACCATCCTGGCTAACACGGTGAAACCCCGTCTCTACTAAAATACAAAAAAAATTAGCCGGGGGAGGTGGCGGCGCCTGTACTCCCAGCTACTCGGAAGGCTGAGGCAGGAGAATGGCGTGAACCCGGGAGGCGGGGCTTGCAGTGAGCTGAGATCCGGCCATTGCACTCCAGCCTGGGCAACAGAGCTAGACTCCGTCTCAAAAAAAAAAAAAAAAAAAAAGAAGCTACTGCAGTAGAGTCTCTTGAATCCCGGAACGGAGGTTGCGGTGATCTGAGATCGCACCACTTGCACTCCAGCCAGGGCGACAGAGACTCCGTCTCAAATAAAAGGAAAAAAACAAGTTTGTGTGACACCTGGTTTTGAGCTGCATTTGGGGTTTATTGGCTTCTGCAGTGTGTAGTAAGACTGGCTTCTTTTATTTCTCGCGTTTTTGTTGCATTTCGTTGCAGATTTAAGAGATAAACAGTGGAAGGCACTTTCAAGTCGTCGGGTCATTAATTAAGCCTTAGTGTGGCTAGAGGTTCAGGAACGGTATATCTCGCCAACCAAACTCCTTGTTCTATCCCCAGAGATAGGAGCTGGTTTGGTGAGACTCTTCCAGACTGATTTTTTTTTCCCCAACTCGACTGCGAATCCAAACACAGTCTATGTGGTGAAGATACAAGGTTCCTTCTTCTACAAAGCTTTTTTGTGTGTGTGTGTGAGATAGAGTCTCTGTCACCCAGGCTGGAGTGCAGTGGCACAATCTCGGCTTACTACAACCTCCGCCTCCTGGATTCAAGCGATTCTCCTGCCTCAGCCTCCCGAGTACCTGGGACTACAAGCGTGCACCACCACACCCAACTAATTTTTGTATTTTTAGTAGAGACGGTGTTTCACCATTTTGGCCAGGCTAGTCTCAAACTCCTGACCTCAGGTAATCCACCCACCTCGGCCTTCCAAAGTGTTGAGATTACAGGCATAAACCAACGCGCCCGGCCCCTATGGAGCTTTTCTAATGGAACCAAACACAAAACAAATTGAATAAATAACATAAATCCCAGATGAATAATATCTCAGTGAGAAGTGCCCTGTAGAAAGAGAATTTTAATAGAATGGTCTACCTCCTTCCTATTCCCTCTCCATAAGGGAGCTCATCTACTTCCATGGCTTTAAGTAAATGCCATCTGATAGCTAGTGACCCCCTAGTTTACAGCCATCAGCTGGTCCTGTTGACTCCCTTCCATCAGCTGGTCCTCTTCAAAGCGTATGTTTCATCCAACCATATTTTACCACCTCCACTGCTGCCATCCTGGTACAAGATCTCTTGCTGGATAATTGCAATAGCCCCTAACCGTTCTCCCTAGACCACTCTTCTACCTCGCTCTTGCCCTTCTCTATCCCAGTCCTCCACATAACAGCCAAACTTTTTTTTTTTTTTTTTCTCTGACAGGGTCTTGCTGGAGTGCAGTGGCATAATATCAGTTCACTGCAACCTCCACCTCCCAGATTCAAGCAATTCTCCCACCTCAGCCTCCCAAGTAGCTGGGACTGCAGGCGCATGCCACCACACTGGCTAATTTTTGTATTTTTTGTAGAGACGGGATTTCGCCATGTTGCCCAAGCTGGTATCGAACTCCCGGACTCAAGTGATTCGCCCACCTCACCCTCCCAAAGTGCTGGGATTACAGGCAGGAGCTACCATGCCCAGCCCAAATTATTCTTTTAAAGTAAATCTGATCACACATCACTGTCCTGCACAAAACCCTCCAATGCCTTTCCCCATGACACATGACTCCCTGCAGATCTCTCGTCAAATGTTATCTCATCAGAGGTCTACAATCACTGCCCTGTACAAAATAGTCCCACTCCCACCACATAGCTATTTTTTTAACCAAAACAGGTGCTTTTCTTCATAGCACAAACTACTCCCTGAATAGATCATACATTACTTGTTTACTGCATGTTTCTCCTCTTAGAATGTTAGCTCCATGAGGCAAAGACTTGACTTGTTCTCTGATGTATTTATTCCATGACCCTAAATCAATGTCTAGTGTGTGGGCACTCAGTGAATAGTTGGGGAACAAATGAATGAATATGTTTCTAAACACACATACAGAATTTAATCTGTAACACTACAATTCTAAGTATTTTATAAAATTAATTTCATCTTCCTAAAAACTCCACTAAATAGGTTCCATTACCTCCATTTTATAAATAAGGAAACTGAGGCAAAGAAAGGTTAATCACAAAGACAATATGTGGCGGAGCTGGGATTCATAGGCAAGCATTCTGGCTCCAGGAGACACGCTCTTAATCCCTATGCTACCTTTTTTCTTTTAACAAGAGGAATCATGCTGTAATTGGTCTATTCTGTGCTTTTTTTCACCAAACATCATGGATTTTAAAAATATTATAGGAATATACCATAGTTAATATTACCAGTCCTCTGGTAATGGACATATAGATGATTTTCAATTTCTACTATCCAACAAATGCTGTCATGACATGGTACTACTAAGCACATTTTCTGTCTTGAGAGATAATGCTAAATAACTGTTTTTAATCCCTGTGCAATATATATACACACACGTGTGTGTGTGTATATATATATATATTTTTTGAGTGTGTGTGTGTGTGTATATATATATATATATATATATTTTTTTTTTTTTTTTTTTTTTTTTAGACAGAGTCTCACTCTGTTGCCCAGGCTGAGTGCACTGGCACAATCT